TAAGGGGATCAAAAGCGGTAGATTCTTGCTGCTCTCTTATACTTTCTTTCAAGTATTCACTATTTCCAGCTGGCTATGATACCTATACTTGGTTGAAGGCCAACTTTTGTAAGTAGGCGAGGGGTACTATGTATAAAGGAAGAGGGGGTGTGAGACAAGCACGTGTCTCGTGTAACGACTCTTAACGTGACTCATCCACCCACGGAACTCGTATTTTTTCCATGAATACCTGCAACTCTTCAAATTCAACCACCCACCATGCCATCCCAACGAAGCAATTATAGAGCAAGCGATCGCTCAATTGAATCGACAATTGATTCCTAAATATGCTGAGGTTGCAAAGGAATTCGGAATCAATCGCGTTACCTTGATGCGGCGGTTCAAAGGTCAACAGGTCTCCAGAACAGAGGCAACATCAATTTACTGTCAGAATCTCACGAATACTGAAGAACAACGCCTCCTATTTCATATTAATCAGTTATCCGATCGCGGCTTCCCTGTGACACCTCAAATACTGCGCAATTTTGTATTTGAGATCACCAAAATGCAAGTAGGAATCAACTGGGTGTCTCGCTTTTGTGAGCGGCATAAAGCAAAGATCAAGAGCATCTATCTTCGTGCTCTGGATCAAAAGAGAAAGCAGGCAGATAATAGCTACTATTTTGAACACTTCTTTACTCTTGTAATTGCAGTTTTTTTGCTTCTTTTCGCGTGCAATTCCATGAGCTTTTTGCTGACTTCTATTGAATAGTTGCAGGAGAAGATCAAGCAGTATAATATCCTACCCCAGAACACCTACAATTTCGATGAAAAAGGCTTTCTTCTTGGCCTCCTTCGTACCCTCAAGCGAATCGTTTCTATAGAAGCTCTCAAACGGAAGCATACAATTGGAGCAGTGCAGGATGGCAGTAGAGAATTCATTTCTCTGCTTGCCGGTATTTGTGCAGATGGAACTACAATTCCACCTGCACTCATTTACCGCGGGGAATCAAGAGATATGCAAGATACGTGGCTTGAAGATTTTGATCCTAAAAAGGATCAGGCATACTTCGCTGCTTCAGAAAATGGATGGAGTAATGATGAATATGGGTTAACCTGGCTGAAACAGGTGTTTGATCCTCATACAAAGCAAAAAGCAAGAAATCATTACCGCCTGCTTATATTAGATGGCCATTCATCTCATATAAATATGGCATTCATTGATTATGCGGATCAGAATCGAATTTTGCTTATTATTCTTCCTCCCCACTCTACACACCGTTTACAGCCGCTAGATGTTGGAATATTTGGCCCACTTGCAAAGGCATATTCAGATCAACTAGATTCCTATACACGTTCTGGCTATGGCTTTATTCGGACTACAAAGCGAGATTTTTGGCGATTATTTCGTGCTGCATGGGAAATCTCTACAACTGCGGAAAATATCAAATCTGCCTTCATGGCCACTGGCATACATCCTATAGATCCTGCCCGCGTTCTCAAAAAGATTCAACCACGTCCACTTACACCCCCGGAACTGCTTCAGCAGCGTACACCTACATCTATCGAGCTTTGCGAGGCCTGATAAAGCAGGCAAGTCAACGTCACCGCCGACTTTCAGTTGATATTAAAAAAATTCTCCGCGCTGGGGAGAATATTGCTCTGGACAGAGAGGTTCTCTTAAAAGGGAATAAGAATCTTCAGACTGCTCTAAATACCCCCCTAATTGGCGACGCAAACGGGGTAAGCGTATGGGGTTGCTTAGTGGG